CCCACACATTTAAGGAGAGGTGTTGAGAAACCTCGTTTATATAAACTTCCCTGCAAAATAGAAAACCTAGTTGATCTAGATCTTAGTTTTGCAGCCTCTTTGGGATCTTCTGGCAAAGCTCCATCCTTGAGGTATCTAATGATGTGGTCCATCTAGCTCGATGAGGTGTGCACAGGCAGCACCTCTTCATCTTCTCCGCATATAGATGGTTTAGCTAGGTGCTCCACCGGAATTAACCTGTCCAAACTTTCCTGAGAAGCTGTTGCCAGCCTCGCCAGGGCGTCTGCTCGTGAGTTTTCAACTCTTGGGACGTGTCTAATCTGGACTCGTACAAACTTCTTGATCAACTCCTGTATCTTCCTAAGATAAAGCACCATTTTTTTGCCTTTAGCCTCGTAAGACTCTTCTATCTGCTTTACAACTAGTTGAGAATCGCTGCAGATCTCCAACTGTTCTGCCTCCATTGAATGGGCAAGGTTGAGTCCAGTTATGACAGCCTCGTATTCTGCCTCGTTGTTTGAAGCCTTAAACCCAAATTTGAGTGCGTATTTGACATCTACTCCATTTGGGAAGGTTAAGATTAAGCCTACCCGTTCCCTTGAGCATTGACTGCTCCATCTACTGAAAGCTTCCATGCGGGGAGGTCAGGTATCAGCTGCGTGGTATCCAGAGGCTTTGGTGTCGTGAATTCTGCAATGAAGTACGCTAAAATCTGCCCTTTGACTGCAGTTCTTGGCTTGAACCTAATATCAAACTTGCTGAGGTCTATAGCCCACTTTACTAGCCTTCCTGAGGACTCCGATTTATGTAGCACTTGCTTCATTGGCTGTTCTATTGGTACCTCGATGGTGTGCTCCTGAAAGTATGGTCTAAGTCTCCTGGTTGTGGTTACCAAAGTCAAAGCTAGTTTCTCCTTTTTTGGGTATCTCTCCTCTGCCCCCTCAAAGCTTTGCTGCAGTAGTCGATTGGCTGCTGAGCTCTGTCTCTCTCCCTCACCAAAGCTGCGTTGGTCAAGAAATCTGAAACAACCAGATATAGAGTAAGTACCTCCCCTTCTAAGGGGCTTGCCAATAGAGGTGGGGAACTCAGGTAAACCTTCAGAGCCCTAAATGCCTCTTCATATCGAGTATCCCAATGGAATGCTTTTTTTAGGACTCGAAAGAAAGATTGACACTTGTCACTTGATCTGGACACAAAGCGTCCTAAGGCTGCTATTCTCCCTGTCAGGCGTTGGGTTTCCCTTACGTTAGATGGTGGATACATGTCTAGGATTGCCTTAACCTTTTCGGGGTTAGCCTCTATTCCTCTACTGTTTACTATGAAACCCAGAAATTTTCTCGCAGATACTCCAAAGGCACATTTGGCAGGGTTCAGCTTCATCTTGTATTCCTTAACGACCTGAAACGATTCTGCTAGGTGTGCAATGTGGAGCTCTGTCTTCAGTGACTTCACCAGCATGTCGTCCATATAGACCTCCATGGATGTTCCAATTTGTCTTTGGAATATTTGGTTCACCAGACGCTGGTGGGTAGCTCCCGTATTTTTCAACCTAAAAGGCATAACCTGATAGTAGTAAGTCCCTTACTCAGTCACAAAAGAGGTCTTCTCCTGGTCGATTGGTTCCATCCTAATCTGATTATAACCTGAGAATGCGTCCATAAAGCTGAGGAGTTCGTGCCCAGCGATGGCATCCATTATTAAGTCGATCCGGGGTAAAGAAAACTATCCTTAGGACATGCTCGGTTGAGATTAGTAAAGTCTATGCAGAGTTGCCATTTACCGTTGATTTTCTTAACAAGAACCACGTTGGCTAACCAGGTAGGGTAATCTACTTCCTTGATAGCTCGGGCGTGAAGAAGCTTGTCGACCTCCTCATTGATTGCCTTTTGATGCTCTGGGGTAAAACTCTTTCGCTTCTGCTTGACAGGCTTGTAGGTAGGATTCACACTCAGCTTGTGAATGATAACCGAGGGGTCAATGTCTTCCATGTCTTTTTGTTTCCAAGCAAACACCCTCATATTCTTCTTTAGAAACAAGATGAGAAGGTCCTTAACCTCTCTGCTTAGTTTAGTCCCAATGTAGACGAGATATTCTGACTCTTCATCAAGCTGAATTGGCTCTAGCTCTTTCGATGGCGTTGGCCTGATGCCCAGTTCGTCCCTCATATCCAGCTCATCTAGTCGTATATTTTCAACTTATTTCTGCTTCATTAAAGTCAAGTAACATTTCCTTGTAACTCGTTGATCTCCTCAAACCACTCCAACTCCGTTTTTCGTAGGAAATTTCATGACCAGATGATAAGTTGAGAGAATGACCTTCATTGTATTGAGGGAAGGGCTCCCAAGTAGCATGTTGTATGCAGATGGGGCATCAACCACTAGAAATCTTATTGTAGTGGTTGCCTGGTTGGGGGTCACCCATAGTGAGCACAAGTTGGATTGAGCCCAGCAACAACACCCGTTCTCCTGCAAATCCCAACAGGTGAGTATTCACGGGCTCCAGCTTTTCCCTTCCTATGCTCATTTTGTCAAATGCGGAAGCAAATATGATATCTGCTGAGCTTCCATTATCTATCAAAACTCGGTGAACAGTTCTGTTAGCCACAGTAGCCCTTACCACCAGCGGGTCGTCATGGGGGTGTTGGTATCCTTCCAAGTCTGCATCTGAGAATGTGATGTCTGAGCTCAGTCGTGGTGTTTTAGATACAACGTACACCTCCAAAGTCTCACTAGCTTTGATTCTGCGTAAATGGGCTTTCTTGGCTGAACTAGATTCTCCGCCACCTACAAAACCCCCTGATATTACCCTGATCTCTCCTAGGGGTTGTTGGTGCTACGCAGGAGCCTGCTGCTGAAATGGTGGAGGTGGTGGGGCTTGATTCTGATTCTCCTGGGCTATGTAACGACACAACTGCCCTTGTTGGATCAGGAACTCTATCTCCTTCTTCAACTAAATGCAGTCATTAGTATGATGACCATGGTCCCTGTGGTACTCACAGTACTTTGAGGGTCCCTTTTCATCGGGTCCGCTTTCATTCGAGGTGGCCACCTCAAGAATTTTTTATTTTGTACTTTATACAAGATTTGCAATATTGTTGTGGTGAGTGGGGGAATATGCCGAGGTGCATACCTCGGCTGCAACTCCGAATGAGGTGGTCCTAGGCGATCTCTGACGTCCCCTCTTTTTTTGAGGGAATGATCTCTGTCTCTTCTTGGGGACCTATCTCGTCCTCTCTTTCTCTCCTGGGACTTCGGTCCCTCTTTTTCTCCTCTTTCCCTTTGTCTTTTTGCACGGATAAACTCCCTACTTTTGAGAGGAGAGCTTCTTCGTCGTTTATGTACTTTTCTATCTTGGCCAGTACTTCAACCATGCTGGCCTGGGGATTTTTTGAGATGGAGAACATCAGGTCTTTAGATTGGACACCCAAGCCAGCTATAAATGCACTAATAGCAAATTTCTCGTCTAAGACGTCCACTTTTAGCGATTCCGAGTTAAACCTCTGAACATAGGATCTGAGGCTCTCGTGGGGTCCCTGTTTCACATTTAACAAGTGGTAACTCAACTTTCTGTACATTCGAGCTCTTATAAAAGTGAGACACAAAGGATATGGATAGCTCCTTAAAGCAGGATATCGAGGCTGGGGGAATCTATTGAACCATGCAAAGGCTGAGCCTTTCAGTATGATGGCAAAGGCTCTGCAGCGCACTGGATTCTGGTATCCATGCAGCTCCATCTGGTTCTTGTAAGTGTTGAGGTGATCTATGGGATCCTTTGTTCCATCAAAAGCCTCTATTTGGGGTACTCTGAATTTCAGAGGGAGGGAAAAATGCAGCACACCAGTGGTGAACGGAGATTCAGTCTGTTGTATCAAGGCGTCCATCATAACTGGAGCCTTGGCTCTCACAACTTCTTTCGTGTGACTGAGCTCTTGCTGGATACCCTAAAAGCTCTGTTCCCAGTATTGTTCTCTCCTTTCCTGTTGATAGGGGAAAAATTATTTCTCTCACCTTCTTCGTTCTAACTCTACCCTTCGTCGTTGTGGCCATTCCTGGGGGGACGCGAGGTTCTGGCCCCATGGTTTGGCTGTTTTTCTCTTCTTCATTAACTTCTCTGATGGGGTCGAGGTGTGATTGCTCCCTAAGTGGGAGGTTGTTTTGGCCTTCTTGAGCCTGTCATGCCTCCTGTGGGCGTTGTAAGAGCTTTAAAAGTTCTTCGTTTTATTTCAACAAGCGTTGATTGATGAGGCAAAGGGCTTCCATCTCGTTATTTATGGGGAGACCCCCCACGGGTGGATTGGTCTCTTGGACATTCTCAGGTTGTCTACTATTAGTAACTTCTTGTTGATCTTGGACCCGTGGTAGATTTGTCTGACTTCGGTTCATGTTTCACGTTAATACCATCAGTCACTAAAAAATCAGTTTTTTTATAATAGGAACAATCGTTCCCACAAACGGCACCAAACTGATGGTGTATTTCAACGTGATGCAATTTTGTGACGAATGAAAGAAACAATCTTGAAATTATTGGGATCTGAGCTACTAGGCTCGAAGGAGTGATACTGAGAATTGTTAGGGAGTTGGGGGATTAACACAGTAGAAATATAGTGGTTCATCGGCTCGAGAGCTCGGCTAATCCACTCTTTAATGGAGATTCTTGCTCCTTTCTTCACTATTTACTATATCAAAAAGGGTTACAAAATATACGAAGTGATACTAGGGTTCTTGCCCCTCTGTTGGGAGGGTTACATAGTATTTATAGGGGTATCCCTTAATCTATGGGATCCGATCCATGATCCTTGCCATCTATCTGAGGAATTCTCCTTAGTCTTAGGAGAGTATCTTGGTTGGTTGAGGATTTTGTGCCTTGAGTGTTATTTCCAACCGCCTTTCGAGTTCTTTGTATTATCCAGTTGCTTCCTCCCTACTTCAGCTTATTATCTCGCTTTGAGGGGAGCTCTAGCTCTGTTTTTCTAAGCTCTGCATAGCTCTGACCTTCTGAACTCAGCTTACCTGACCTCCGTTCCTGAGCTCCAGCTCGGGAATCATTCTGAGTATCATCACCCACCATAGACTATCAACCATCAATGCATTTTCCCGAAAATCATTAAGGTCGAGGTAACGCAAGCTCCAGAGATTTCCTAGATGATGTGGAATATTTCCTCTGAAATTTGAAAGAGAGAAGTTAAGATACCTCAAATTTTGAAGGAAGCCTAAGCATTCTGGAATTTCGATTCCTGAAAAGTTGTTCATGCTCAAGTCCATGTAGCACAAATGCTTCAAATTGCGTAGAGAACGACTCATCTTACTTCTTAAGCAAGTTCTGCTGTAATTTGTTGCATAATCACTGTCATCGTAGAATCTTTCCTCATCGAAGAATGTTGGATTACGAAGATCAAGCCTGAGGACATGGCCTGTTTTCTTGCTACAACCAATACCTTTCCATCTACAACAGTCTTCTCCGACCCACGACGACAACTAGTTTGATTCATCTGTGAGGCTTTCTCTGAACTTGAGAAGAGCTTTGCGCTCACTCCCATTGCAACTTATATTAGAGTAGCCATTACAGTCAAGTCCTTGCATAAAAAGAATAGCAAGTAATACCACAAGAACACTAGTGGGTGTTGGTTCCATGGCTTCTGTAATGCTTATGCAAGTAAGTAAGTAACTAAAGTCGAGATGTTGAAGATTTTATGTTTTTTGAAGTGTTTTATAGGTAGAGAGCATAATTGTCTTCCAAAAATCATATTCAAGTCCTGAGTAGGTATCATGCCTTTCGTATACTTTGAGTTACAAGTATTCAGCTTTCATATAATTTGAGTTAGAAGTCTTCAGCTTGTTCTGGGGGTGTTTGTAAGTCTTTGAAGAAGTTCACTTCACTTCACTCCAAGTTGACTTCACTTCACTCCAAAACAGAGAAGAAAAAACCTTAATGGATTACTTTGCATAGGTACTTCCTTGATTCATTTGTTTTGGTTCAATGGTCAGGTCCAGACCAACTTATGCGCACTTTGATTAATTTTCTTCTCAGTCCAATCAAAGGCTTAGATTTGTATTGAGGACAGTTATGAGGAAAAGACCCTTCGATTTTTTTGCTATCTTTCTTGCTACTTAATGTTTCACTTTCTTCTTTTAATTGTCAATATAAACAGTCCATTCTTGCCAAAAAAGAGAAGAAATATAATGAAAAAATAGATGGCGGAATAATAACAACACTATGGTAAAAGATGATTTTTTGATAAAATAATTAAATTAGTAGCCAAAACTCTTTCTGTCAAATTTTTGTGTGACTTGTGTTGGTTGTTGCAATTAGTCTAAGTCTTCAACTTGTTTAACATGTTGATCTTGAAGTCCTCCAAGAAATTGACAACTCTAATTTAAGTCTTTGAAGAAGTAGACAACATTGATTTTAATGGCTAGTCATGCAATGGTCCATAGACCAGGGATAAATTTATGGTACCGAAAGTTTATCTTTTGGGATCATATTCAAAAGTAATTTTGAAACGTAAATCTTAGTTTAAGGTATTTGAAGCCATTGATTATTGATGATGTAACACAAAGTTGACTATGCATAATCAAATCAGTCGAGTGTGTGATATAAAACAATTAATACTGAGACAAATATTAGGTGGTTGGGTCTGGGTGACCTAACCATTAAAGGCAACTACGGTTGCAGGAGAACTCTATTAATGACAGAGTACAAGGTAGTAGGGGAGAGATAGAAAACAAGAGTATGCTCAAGGGGTAGTGTGTGCCCCCCAGGGTTTACAACTTATAGGCACAGAGCCCTAATTGTGGCAATGACGTGAAGGTCAAATTACTAATCTATCGAGGGAGAATAGCTATAATTGAGGATAAATATTATCTTAGAGTAATGACTATCCTGATGATTGCTCTCCAACGTGCGTTGATTCTTTCTGAACTCTTGAACTGTGGATTGGACTGAGGTAATGGGCTAAGTCTGGCTTGCTTTTAGAAGATTTGGGTTTAACACATGGACTGGGCTCAGCCTTGATCTGGATATGAGCTCATCAATTGAAATAAAAAAATAAAATGATAAAATAGTAAAAACTTCTATATGTCATATTGTGATTAGTCAAAAAAAAAAAACTATGATATCAAAAAATAACCCTTACATGATTGGTCTATTGAAATATAAATGCTTAAATTACATTCTCTCCAATAGTTTAAGTTTTTGGAATAAATGATTATTTAACATGATCCTTTTATTTCCAATGGATGGTTGTTTAACATGGTTCTTTTAAATGCATGATAAATGATTAACTAATAAAGAAATTGAAAAAAAATTAAATCCAAAAAAGTCATTTATAGGTATCTAATTTGAGGACCTAATTTATTGCAGTTATCAGATTAGTTGTAAATTTCAAAGTTAGATAAAATTCACTTTCTATCCAATGACTATAACTGTATTGTTTTGGTCATCAAATTACGTCCAAATAGCATTTCCAAATATTGTACACCCACTCAAGGCTCATCATCTAGCCTTTTTTTATAAGGTAATTTGGAAGTTGGTACAAAAATTTAAACTTATTTGAGCTAAACTACATTAAAAAACTTATTTGGCCATAAGTGTATTTTTTTGAAAAAAAAAAAACTAAAAGGTGATTTATTACTCCATTACTTTGTTTCTTTCTCTCCTTTCTCTGCATTACTCTGTTAGTCTCTCTTTCCTATTTTCTCTTTATCTCTCTCTCTCTCTCTGACATTGATAATTTCTTTTTTAAATGTGTAAAAATTTAATTTAATTTTTTCATCTTTCTCCCATATTTTTTCTTTCTCTCTCACTCCCTTCCCCTTATTTCCTTATTCTCTCTCCTTATATCAATATTACAGTAACACAATTACATCAATTAGTTACAATTACCCTATAATACACCAAATAGGTACTCATTTGTTCTAATAAACAAAACAAGTACACTAAAAAATTACATAAAATTACAACACTAACCCAATTTTTTATTCAGTTATTTACATAAATTAAAGAGTTACATCATTTAGTATCAGTACATAGTTACACCAATTATATACACCAAATTGAGTTTATCATTACATAAAATACTTTACCATTATACTGTTTTGATATATAATTGGTGTAACGATATTGAGATACAAAACGGTGCAACTATTTAGTTTATGTAAACGACTGAATGATAAATTAGATTAGTGTCATAATTTTGTGTAATTGTTTAATTTATTAGAATGCATGAGTAACTGATTGGTATAAATGATTATTGTGTTGTTGTAATGTTGATATCAAGAGAGAGAGAAAATAGGGAGAGAAAATAGAGGGAGACAGAAATGAAAAAATAAATCAAATTTTTATATATTTAAAAAAAATAAATTATCAATAGTAGATAGAGAAAGAAAATAGTAGAGAGATTGAGAAAGTAACAGGGACAAAGAAAGAGAGATGGAAAGAAAATAAGGGAGAGATAGTAAGAGAGTAATGGAGAAAGGGAGAGAGAGAAAGATTGAGAGAAAATAGGGGGAGAAAGAGAAATGAAGAAAATAAAAATTATGCATAATTTAAGGAATGATAAGTAAATAAAAAATTTCAAATATCATTTGAATTTTGTACCTAATCACTCGAAGTTTTATTAAAATTGAATTTAATAAAGTAAAGTACTTATCCATACATTTTCTATCAAATAAGCCTAAAAAAAATGTACTCATACCCAATTTAGTGTAACTATGTCACCATACTAAATGGTGTAACTCTTTAACTTATGTAAATAACTGAATGAAAAATTGGGCTAATATTGAAATTTCGTATAAGTGTTTGGTTTATTAGAAGACATGAGTAATTGTTTGTTGTACTATAAGATAATTATATCTAATTAGTATAATTGATTAGTGTAATTGTGTTTGTTGTAACGTTGATAAAATGAGACCGAGAATAAGGAAATAAGGGGAGAGGGAGTGAGAGAGATGAAAAAATTAAATCAAATCTTTACATATTTGAAAAAAAAAATTATCAATGTGAGAGAAAGAGAGAGAAATAGACAGAGAGAAAATAGAGAAGAGAGAGTAATGGAGTGAGAAGGAGAAAAAGAGTAATTGAAGTAGCGTTTGGTAAACACGTGTTTTTTTTTTTTCGTTTTATAGCCAAAAATAAAAAATAAAACATGTTTAGTGAATGTTTTTTTTTAATTGCACTATTTTAAAAACAAGCCTAAAATATAAAAACATCCAAAACGATGTTTTTGAAAACATCAAAAAAAAAACACGCTCAAGTCATTTAATAAGTTCTGGGCTTCAATTCTCTTTAGCAACAAAATATGAATTTTTTTCTTGAGTATATAAAGGGCCATCCCTTTTCACCTCTCATATCTCTGTTCTCTCTCTCTGCTAAAGATGAAGCTGAAGCCACACGAAGACGAAGACGAAGAGAAGCCAAAGCAGAAGGATCAGACGCCATCTCCCCCCCACTCCCTCTGTTGCTCTCACTCTCTCTCTTAATCTTCTCCATTTTGGTGGTGGTGATGGATTTTGGGGAGTGATGGTGGGGTTGGTTGGTGGTGATGGGTTTTTGGAGATGGGGGTGGGTTGGGTGGCTGTGGGTTTCAACCGATTGGAGTGGATTTGAGTGGCTAGGTTTCAGCCGATTAGGGTGGATTTGGGTGGCTGTTTTTCGGGGATTGGGGGTGGGGTTGGGTGGCTTGTTTTTCGAGGTGGTGAGTGGCTGGTTTTAGGTGGTGGTGGGTTGCTGGGTGGCTGGTGATTGGCTGTTGGTGGTTGGTGGAGGTGTTGGGTGGTGAATTTTTGAGGTAATACCAAACATATTTTTTATTTTTATTTTTATAATTTTTTAAATATAAATGTCTACCAAATATGTTTTATATTTTTAATTTTTATCACAACAAAAACAAAAACGTTATCAAACGCACCCTCAATAATAAATGACATTTTAGTTTTTTTTTAAAAAAAATGCACTTAAAACCAAATAAGTTTTCTTGATGTAGTTTAGCTCAATTAAGTCTAAAACTCATTGTTTAAAGGATTTGAATTGTAAACTTGTAAAAATTAGTTTTTCATAATTAAAATATAATGATTACATACATAAAGTTTATATTTTATGTTAGAGAGAATTACACCTAGACATTCTGAGGTTTGTCATTTAATCACTCAGATCTCTTGATATTTGAAATATTACATACAGACCCTCTGAGATTTGTACGTGCGTAACACTTACTCCCCAGTTGTGAATATATCTATTAATAAATTATATTTAGACTCCCATGAAGTTTGTAGGTATATAATACTTAGACCCTTTAAATTTAAAATATTATACTTAGACAAAAAATACTTCAATCAAATATAAAATATAAAATATTTTAAATTTTACAATGAAAATTCATGTTCTATTGTATCATTTATTGAAATAAAATTAAAAATAAAAATTTATTTTTTCTTAAAAAATCGTAATTAGTATACAATTATACTATCTATTGGAATAAAATTAAAAAATCAAATAAGGGGTCTAAGTCATTCATAATAGAACATGAATTTTACATCTATAATTTATATTCTATTATTTCATTTATTGAAATAAAATCAAAAATAAAAGTCTAGTTTTTTTTAAAAAAAAATCATAGTTAGTATATAATTATAATATCTATTAGAATAAAACTAAAAAATTAAACAAAGGGTCAAACTGTAATGGACACAATATCTTTTAGTTTTAATTGGGGTAGTTTGGTATTTAATTTGGTGGTTTAAACGATCAAATTAAATTCTAATTGACAATATAATTGTAAACTAATTATGAGTTTTTAAGAAAAAAATTAAATTTTTATTTTTAATTTTATTTCAATAAATGATACAATAGAACATGAATTTTAATTGTAAAATTTAAAATATTTGATATTTTATTTTTGATTGAAGTATTTGTTATCTAAGTATAATATTTTAAACTTAAAAGATTTAAGTATTATATACCAACAAATTTGAGGAGGTCTAAGTGTTATTTATTAAATGATATATTTACATCAATGATCAAAGTGTTACGCGTGTACAAATCTCATAAAGTTTATGTGTAATATTTTAAATATCAGGGAGTCTGAATGATTAAGTGATAAATCTTAAGAGGTTTAGATATAATTCTCCTTGTATATTACTACTATTCTTGGTCGGGCCAAACTAGGCCATGGGTTAAAGACCAATATACCTCATGGTAGTTTAATTGATTGAAAAACGCAACCAATGACCAAGTTGTATCTAATCGAAACACAACTTAAAATAGTAATTATTATTATTTTTTTGGATTAATCTCATTTTGTACCCTGAAAGATTGTTCGAATCTCAATTTATACCCTCAAAGATCAAAAATTTTAATTTACACCCTCAAAGATATAAATTTATATCAATGTGCACCCCCAAAGATCAAAAATCTCAATTTGCACCCTCAAAGATAGAAATTTGTATCAATGTGCATCCCCAAAGATAAAAAATCTCAATTTGCACCTTCAAAAATAGAAATTTGTATCAATGTGCACCTCAAATTAAATTAATAAATTATACCTTGATCTCCTCATGTTTGTTACTTAATCATTTGAACTCCTTCACATTTAGAATATTCCCCTTATATCTAATGACGTTTATGCATGTGTAACACATAACCACTTTTCGTTGATATATATTAATATAATCGTTAAAAAATATGATTTTATCATAATATAAAATTATAATTTTATATTACTTTTTATTTTGTGGATTTGATATACTCTAAAGTTAAAAATCAAGCTTACCATTTGAATGTCTAATAAAATGTAGATATTTATATAAAAGGTAATATGAAAAATATTATATAAATATTTATATTTTATTAGACATTCAAATGGTAAACTAGATTTTGAACTTTATAGTATATTGAACTTATAAAATAAAGGGTAATATGAAATTATAATTTTTTATTAGGATAAAATTATATTTTTTAACGGTTATATTAATAGATATCAATGAAAATGGGTTACGTGTTATACGTGCACAAATGTCATAAGATGTAGGAGTAATATTCTAAATGTGAAGAGATCTAAATGATTAACTGACAAATATGAGGGGATTTAGGTATAATTTATCAATTTAATTTTAGGTGCACATTGATACAAATTTCTATCTTTGAGGGTACAAATTGAGATTTTTTATCTTTGGGATACACATTGATATAAATTTCTATCTTTGAGGGTACAAATTGAGATTTTTGATCTTTGGGGGTGCACATTGATACAAATTTTTATATTTGAGAGTGTAAATTGAGATTCGAACAATCTTTCAAGGTGCAAAATGAGATTAACTCTTTTTTTTTCGACTTCAACCCTAAATTTTTTGAGAATGGATCGCGTTGGTTGGATAGGCCAAGTAGAAGTTATAAGTTGTTGAATGTGGTAGAAAAAAAGTTATAAGTGGATAAATAAGAAAAAACATGAGATATTAACAATAAATTTATGATTAACTAATAACTAAGATACCACACTGATAAGTATATACAACTCTATTACGCGATTTAGTAATTATTTCATATAAAATTGAATTATGTAATTTATTAAAATCAATTATTATTAAGTGATTCAAATCAAATCAAATACTGATATTGAATCTATTTTTGATGAATTCAGACAGGGTCTCTAAAAGTGAAATCTATTGCATAATGAAACCGGATTCAGATTAATTTTTTACAATAAGATTTGAATTGGAGTAAGCCAAAATTCGATCAGTTGATATGCATGCATACTCACGTGAATAATAGAGCCGGACCAAGAACTAAACCGGGTCGCTCTGAACCTGTTATGACCGGTTCAACCCGCCTATCCAGGTTTCAAAAACAGCTTAGTTTGCCCGCCGCTGTTATAAAAACCACCCCAAAACCCTCTGCAACTCTCTAAAAATTCACTCTCCCTCCAAAACCCAAACTCGGTCACTCTCCCTCTCTCTGATATTTTTTTGTTTTGCACCGGAACGATTCCCTATTGACTGTCCTATCTATGGGTCCAATTTTAATTCCAGGGTTTTGGCTGTGAATCTCTCTAGTTTAAATTATTAGGGTTTTTTTTTTTGAAGAAGATGTCTTGGGATAACGAGATTGTGATGCGTGATGTCACGAACGCCTGCCTCGTCGTGAGTGATCGAATAGGCCGAGAAGTTGCTACTCAGCTCGACCTCGAAGAAGCCCTGGAAGCTTCTAGATATGCTAGTCATCCCTACTCAACTCATCCCAGAGAGGTGCTTCAAATTATATACATATGTGTGTGTGTGTATATACATTATATGTATAGCTGCTGTTTGGTTGCTCAGAAAGTCAAAAAGATATTCAATTTTGAAGTTTTGTTTTTTCATTGATAGTTTTTGCTGGTAAATCACGGAATTGGTTTTTTTTTTTACTCTTGTTTTACTAAACCTTCTTTTTCAGAGCCCAGGAAAGATAGTGTTTAAATTGGTGTTTTGACTTCATGGGTTTGTTTTAGTGGAAAAAGGATTGGGATTGAAGGTGGTAGGAGGTGAATCTGCTCTTCTGAAGTGGTGAAATGTCATAATGGGAGGGACACAATATTTGGGAGAATATTGATTTGAAGAGTGAGTTAAATTTATGGAAAGCATAGATTAATTGGAGCTGAGGTAGTAATTTTATTTGCACAATGGTAGAGAGGATACTGGGCTAGATGGTTAATTGCATATTGGTAGTGCTGCAAATGAGCTGAGAGAAGCACCGAACTATCTAAGCTTGACTTGTTCGTTCATCAAGAATGTTTAGGCTCGGCTTGGGCGTATGAGAGCTTTCAAAAATTTTGTTTACATTTAGCTCTTGAATATTTTTAAAGTTTGGACTCGGTTCAGCTTGTTTAGTCAAACAAACTGAGCTCAAGCTTGTGTTCAAATTAACTCGAGTTGAAACTCTTGTTCAAGGTCAACTAGGACTAGGACTCCTTGATATATTTTCACACATAACATATGTAATATATATTACATATAGATGTTATATACGTGTATATACTATTTATATGTAAGTCTAGCTATACAATCAAACAATCATATTGCATGTATAAACCAAGCTCTTTCAAGCTCGTCTTGTTTATTGAATGAACTCTAAAATTGGGCTTGAGCTCGTTCAATATGAGCTGATTGCTAGATGGTCATTCATTTGCAGCCCACATAATGGGAGAGAGAGATTGGCCAACCTGAATTCAAGGAGTGATATAGTTATATGATCAATGGAAAGTATAGTTTAATTACTTATTTCGAAGTCAATATACTTTAGAGTAAGGTTTATTACACAAATTTCCTCTCTCTCTCTCTCTCTCTCACACACACACACACAGCCCTCCCTGTCTTTGTATTTTTATTTTCTTGAAGTTTCGGGGTGTTTGTAACTGAATGCATGTTTTCCATATCATGAAACTAAGATAGAAATATGTAGAGATAGAGAGAAACAAGAATGAATGGATTAACTTTGCATGGAGATTGAAGAGGGTAGGAGTCCTTTGGTCAATGATATGGGTCATTGTGAAGGAACTTCTGTCTAAACTTGAGAGCGGAAGCACGGAGTACTTGCTTTCTTAAAAAGGGAAATTACATTTAGTTGCATGTTAGCAAAGAAGAAGTAAACAATTTCAACTGCAGAAATATGATGAATTAGTGATGATGCAATTTGAAATGACCATTGCGAACGAGCCCATAGTTTATGTGTTTGATGGCTATACTAGGTGGAAACCCTGAAGAAGTTCCATAATTAAGGAATTAAAGATGAGGAATTGATTGAATTGAAAGCTTGCTGTTAGGGGATCTTAGTATTGCATGTAATGCATTGCAGAAATTAGCAAATGGTGTTGTTTGAATAATGACACTTTCCCCAAGTGTAGTTCATGATTGTGGTTCTTTACTGTATTGTTCATACTGTGTATCACCCCACTTATGGTGGGATATTAATATACCTTCCTTTGGCTTTCTGTATGCTAGTTATTGTTGAAAAGACTGCACCTGAATATTGTTGATAGTCTTAACTGCTGGATATGATGATATAATATACGACTCTCATTAATCAAGAACTATCAGTGTGAACTGAACTCATTGAGCACCTTCTATTTCTGGTTACTATTTGTTTCTTATTAACTTGCTTGGATATAGATTTCTTTTTACTCACACCATGTTGTTTTGATTGTATTGTAGTGGCCTCCTATGGTTGAATTGGTGGATACTTGGGAGTTGCCTCAAGTGCTCATTGATCGGTATAATGCAGCCGGTGGGGAGGGAACTGCTTTATGTGGAATTTTTCCGGAGATACGTAGAGCATGGGCATCAGTGGATAACACTCTATTCCTTTGGCGTTTCGATAAGTGGTGAGAACTACTAGTTTGATTGATATAGGGGGCAAGGATTTCATAGTTTCATTGCTTAGAGATTCCTTTTTGTAGAACTGATTAATTTGATGAGTTCTGAATTGGACCAGCTTGTTTCATTGGCTGAAACCATATACCCTCACATGAATTGGATCTGCTTGTTAAATTGGCTGAATTCATAGAATGTTGTTAGGGTAGAGGTTGAAAAACAGGTTTAAATTCATGCTGTATGTTAATATTACAAAACAACCTTACATTCATTCTATATATGAAAAAAACTATTTTTTCTGTTATCTTATAATTTATGTTCGAAGGCTGTTGTGTGCTCTATTCGCTTTTATTTTTGTCTTTGTTTTAACCGTTCTCTTTTATTAGGGATGGTCAATGTCCTGAATATACTGGGGACGAACAAGCTATTTGTGCAGTTGGCCTGGTGAAAGCCAAACCTGGCATCTTTGTTGAGGCTATTCAGTACCTTTTAGTTCTGGCAACTCCTGTTGAGGTATTATCTTTTTCCTTAGTTTTTTGTTTTGTTGTATTAGGTAGCTACTATGTGCTAGCAATGACAAGAGTGGATTGTTTTTGTGCTTTTACCTTTCTTCCTATGGCATCCTCTGTTTGATATTGGTTAATATAATAGGTTTTTGGATGTACAATTGACCAGTCAAAACATAATTCTTCTAAGCTATTATTAGCGCGCTCTCTTTCTCTCTCTCGCCTCCCCTTTTGCATACAACTCAACTCAATGACTCAACAAAGTCTTTATGTCAACTATTCGGGGTTGGCTCTATGGGTTCTATTTGGGGAACACCTTGTCTGTGGGATGTCTATTGTGCATGTAGATTCTTCGAATATTCACTCTACTCTTCCATGTTTCACTTTAAAGTTGCTTCTTTAGAACTTATAAATAAAGAAGAATTGGAACATTTTATAGAACCAAAACAATGAGACCGATCTCATGAGTTTAATCTTCCAACTAGATTTTTGTTGTGTTTTTCTTTTAAATGTTAGATCATGGAAGATGGAATGCATAAAATGACACTGATGGTAGTAATCATCTGGTGACGCAATGGACTGTTTGCAAATGCTTGAATAATGCTAGTGTAACAATAATTGATTTTTTAACTGCGCAGATACTATCTTTTCTTACTTTTGTCTCTTTTTCGATTGCAATTTTCTTTTGGTTCTTTTAGCTGGAAACTACAAAGATGCCTTGTTGAAATCTATATATCTTTCGGTTTCAAAGTCTTTAGAGGCTGACCTCCTCTTGCAAGCAAGGTTTGATAATAGTCATTGCCAACCGTCTACCTGCAATTTTTCTTGGTTTGATAAAACTAATTGCCAACGGTCTACTGGTAATATTTCCAGTGGTTCATAGGCCACCTGATGAGCCCTGCATGTCTGACTTCCTATCTTAAAGAGGTCTCGTTAGAACTGAAGTAATAATTATTTGTGGATTGAACGGCATTGAGTGAGATCAGTTCTTATGTGAACAAGAGTTTCAAAGCAATTGCTTTTGGGTTATTAAAATTGTATTATAGATCTTTTGTATTTTTTTTTTGTTAAAAGGGATTTCTAAACTGCACTATAATATAAGTTAGCAATACAAACTCAACTTAATCAAGCCTTGTCATGATGCAATTTTCTTTGCCATGCATTACATGCATGTTTGTTCTCTAAATTTTAGGAACCGACACTTCTAAATTTTCAAAAAATGTGTTCTATTCTTTGGAGAAATATCTAGAGTCAATCTTGTTTTTTTTTTCGAAAGCATTTTCTACAGAATTATATTTGCCATACAATTCTAGGAATGTGAAACAATTTTGAAAGTATTATGTTTCTTTCCCCAAACAATAAATTGATGTAGGTAATTTTTCTAGTTTAAGGGAAAATTATAGTGACTTGGACTATGCAAAATGGAACTTGTTGGAGAGGATGTAACAACACATCTTACATAATAGAATGTCTGGGTATCGTTTCAAGTCTTCTAAAAAATGATGTAATGTATCTATTTGAATATTAAGTATCTTCCAGACCAAAAAAAAAAAAAAGAATTTTAAGTATCTTAAGATGAACTATGCACTAGAATGCATGATGACTCAAAAACTACATTAGGATGCATGATACCAGAAACAGAATCTGGGAATGTATATAGTTTACATTCTTTGTATACTCTAACTATGCCTTTCCATATAACAGTATGGCAACTATATATTATTATGGGGGTTTTAAGCTAGCCAGAGATGAGAAGATAAAGCAAGCCAAGTCAAATTGAGGCAAACTTGGCTTGCATCCAAGCTCATTTATATTGATGAGCTGAGAAAATGTAAATAAATTTGACATAAATTAGATCTCCTCAATATGCTTGCCTAACCTCGTTTTGAGCTTGGAAGTCTTGAGTGCAGATGTTTAGACTGACCTCAGGCTAAATTCCATTAATTTGTTTGCTTGAGTCATTCACAACCGTAAACCTAATTTATACCCTAGTAACTAGTAAGTGTTTTGGAAAATACATCAAAGATATTCTAATTTTATGTTTGTGCGATGATGGGGTAAACAATCTTATTGTGTTTCTATTACATACTTGGATGGCTTTTGGGATTCAGGTGTCACTTAGCCCCCTTTTCAGCTGTAGACAATGTATATATCTTGAGATAAATTCTAGTCTGTGGTTGTGCCTTTTTTGTTTTGTGTTTTGGTTTTTAGCTATGTTTTGAAGTCTTTATGGCTCCATTTAATGGACAGGCTGAACGAAAATGACATGCTTTAAAAGTTTAAAATAAAGGTTGTATCTCCCTCTACAGTTGAGACGCCTTATTGGTCTGTAGAAAAGTGTAGGTAGTGAGTTGAATTGTAATTTGTGTTTATCATATTAATGCTGCTAGACCAATTTTTTTTGCTTTTTCCTTTGATGTTAGGGATATTATACCAATTTCGTGATTTGTTGGACAGGATCTGTAGGAGTAGACCATATGTCATTTTATGGATCAAACTATGTCCTGGGATCTCTTTGTGGTCTTTTCTAGGTCTATAATAGATTTTCAAGTCACAAACTAGAGTTGATTTTTTGGAGTTTTACATCTTTGTTCTTTGGAATCCATATACATGAGTTTTGGAAGTTGAAAATTTTGTTTGTCTAATGTCAATTAGCCCTTAGGTATCTTGAATCTTATATCCTCTTACTTCTTCTTTGCCACTGAAATCAATCTTTTGGCAATAGGTGGAGAGACCCCTTAATCATATAAACCAACCTTTTGGGACCTACTCTTTCAATGTGGATACAAGCTTTCGTCAACGTGTCTGAACCACTGTGTTCTTTTAAGACATTTAATTTCTGATTTACTTTTCCTATGGGATTTGTTTAGTTTCTATGAAATTTTCTGTATTTATGCTTACTTTCTAGTCATTTGCATTCATCTATTTTGTGGCCAGTTGATTCTTGTAGGAGTATGTTGCTCGGGAAATGGTGATGGAACCGATCCATATGCAGAGGTTTCATTACAACCTTTGCCTGAGTATACAGTACCAACTGATGGAGTGACTATGACATGTATTGCTTGTACTGATAGAGGTCATATGTTCCTGGCTGGTCGTGATGGCCACATTTATCAAATGCATTATACGACTGGTTCAGGTTGGCATAAACGTTGTCGTAAAGTTTGTCTAACTGCAGGTGTTGGAAGTGTCATTTCAAGGTATGCTATTTTTTTTCTTTCTGTCCCTTTTTTTTTAATGCCTTTTGGAAGGAGGTTGGGGGTTTGATCACATTGAGTCAATCTGATGTATTGTTGGCCTTTGGAAGTTTGGTAAACTTCTCAATCATCCATTTCCCTGTTGCAGACTGGACTTAACCCTATGAAGTCTAAAACTATAAAACCATTTAAAGATAGTAGTAGTAATTTGGTGTCCAGGTTTAAATTTGCTATCTACTGTATTTCATCCTTAATGTTAAGTATGCCTTTTAGTTTACCTACCTGTCATGTTCTTATATATACTTTCTTTCGACTCAGGTGGGTTTTGCCAAATGTATTCAAGTTTGGTGCAATTGACCCAATTGTTGAAATGGTTGTTGATAATGAGAGGCACATATTGTATGCGCGTACTGAAGAGATGAAAATTCAAGTCTTTTCTCTTGGAGCAAATGGGGATGGATCACTTAAGAAGGTGGCAGAGGAGAGAAATTTAATCAATCAGAGGGATTCACATTATGGTGGTCGGCAGCCAGCAGGATCAAGGGCACCTTCTCGATCGGCTAAAACATCTATAGTTTGTATTTCACCTTTATCTACAGTAGAATCGAAGTGGCTTCATCTTGTTGCTGTTTTATCAGATGGCAGAAGGATGTACCTTTCCACTGCTCCATCAAGTGGAAACAATGGTGCTGCTGGAGGTTTAGGTGGATTCAGTACTAATAGTCAGAAAGCAATCTGCTTAAAAGTTGTAACAACCAGGCCTTCTCCTCCTTTGGGGGTGGGTGGTGGGCTTTCCTTTGGGGCCATATCTCTTGCTGGTAGATCTCAAAATGAAGATCTATCATTGAAGATAGAGTCAGCATGTTATTCTGCTGGAACTCTTATCCTTTCTGATTCATCCCCGTCAACCGTCTCTTCCCTTCTGATTGTCAACAGGGATACAAGCACACAATCATCTTCATCTGGTAGCTTAGGAACTGTTACAAGGAGTTCTCGAGCCCTGCGGGAATCTGTATCTTCCCTACCCATTGAAGGTCGAATGCTCTCTGTGTCAGATGTTCTACTGCACCCAGATACAGCAGCCACTGTGCAGTCACTATATTCTGAGATCTGTGGATTTGATAACTCAGGGGAATCCTGTGAAAAGGCAGCTGTAAAACTTTGGGCTAGAGGAGACCTTGCAACCCAACATATGCTACCAAGAAGGAGGATTGTTGTGTTCAGTACCATGGGCATGATGGAAATAGTTTTCAACAGGCCAGTTGACATCCTGAGAAGGATGTTTGAGTCCAATTCGCCCCGATCAATACTGGAGGAATTTTTCAATCGTTTTGGAGCTGGAGAGGCTGCTGCAATGTGCTTAATGCTAGCTGCAAGGATAGTCCACACTGAAAACCTCATAAGCAATGTGGTTTCTGAGAAGGCTGCTGAGGCTTTTGAGGACCCAAGAATGGTTGGGATTCCGCAACTTGAAGGTAGTGGTGCATTGTCAAATAGTCGAACTGCTGCTGGGGGATTTAGCATGGGGCAGGTTGTTCAAGAGGCAGAGCCTGTTTTTTCAGGTGCTCATGAAGGGCTCTGCTTGTGCTCGTCAAGGTTACTTTTGCCTTTATGGGAGCTACCTGTTTTTGTCACAAAAGGCAGCATAGGTTCTTCGGATGCAAAGGATGAGAACGGAATAATTGTGTGCAGACTCTCTGTTGGGGCAATGCAAGTCCTTGAAGACAAAATTCGCTCTCTAGAGAAGTTTCTGAGATCCAGAAGAAATCAAAGAAGGGGACTCTATGGTTCTGTTGCTGGTCTTGGAGACTTTACAGGTTCAATTTTGATTGGAACTGGTTCAGATCTTGGTGCCACTGACAGAAGTATGGTACGGAATTTATTTGGTCCTTACTCTCGAAATGTTGAATCTAATGAAGGTGGCTCACTTACTAAAAGGCAGCGGCTTCCCTATAGTTCTGCAGAACTAGCTGCCATGGAGGTTAGTTGCAATTGAGTTGTTATGTTTACTTCTTTTCCTCATATACTTTACAAACAGATTGGATTCTTTGCTACAGGTGAGAGCAATGGAATGTATCAGGCAGTTGCTCCTCAGATGCGGTGAAGCTCTATTTTTGCTCCAACTTCTTTCGCAGCATCATGTCACACGTCTGGTTCAGGCCTTGGATGCGAATTTGAGGCAGGCATTAGTTCAGCTGACATGCCATCAGCTAGTATGTTCCGAGGATGGTGACCGACTTGCTACGAGGCTTATATCTTCGCTGATGGAGGTACTTCATATTTGGCTATTAAAAGATCCTTTACTTTTACCACTAAAAGCATCTGTTATATTGGATATATTTTTTTTCTTAAGAAAGAATGATTATTTGGTTCAGTCGGCATTATCACACTCTATTCTAGAGCTTCCTCTAACATTGGATAATATCCACTCCAGTATTACACAGGTCCTGATGGTAGGGGAACAGTAGATGATATTAGTAATAGACTACGGGATGGTTGTCCTAGCTATTACAAGGAGGCTGATTACAAATTTTACTTAGCCGTGGAATGCCTTGAGAGAGCTGCTGTTACTTCCAATAGTGAGGAGAGGGAAGATCATGCTAGAGAGGCCTTCAATTACTTAAGTAAAGTTCCGGAATCTGCAGATCTGCGAGCTGTTTGCAAACGTTTTGAGGACTTGAGGTGAGTTCATGTTTTGAGGACTGAGGCCTATCGTTATTCAGTATCTGTGTTCTAATTTCAAATGTTATTTGTCAAACGTAATGCGAGGTGGCAATTGCAGATTTTATGAAGCTGTAGTTCGCTTACCTTTGCAAAAGGCACAGTCCCTTGACCCTGCTGGTGATGCTTTCAATGAGCAAATAGACGTAGGAATTCGAGAACATGCTCTTTCTCAGCGTGTGCAATGTTATGAGATTGTCAACAGTGCTTTGCGTGCTCTGAAAGGTGAAACCTCACGGAGGGAATTTGGATCTCCTATTAAACCTGTTGCACAATCTGTCCTTGATCCAGCCTCGAGGAAAAGATTTATTTGCCAGATTGTTCAACTTAGCGTGCAATCTTCAGATAGAGTTTTTCACGAGTATCTGTACCGGACATTGATTGATTTGGGCCTTGAAAATGAATTGCTGGAATATGGAGGCCCAGATTTGGTGCCTTTTCTGCAAAGTGCTGGTCGTGAACATATACAAGAGGTTTTGCATGATTTCGGTCTTTATTTATTTAACCGAGTTTTCTGGTGACCAAATTTTGGCATTTGTTGAGATTCTATAATTTTGTTCAGTTTATCAAGATCTGTTTCTAATAGTTTGAAAGCTTGCAGAAGCTTCCTTGTCCAAAACTTTGAAATTTGGTTAAACTAGAAAATTGACTTTATCTATGTATCGTCCTTGTAATTGTCTTGCATAGGTCCGGGCTGTTTCTACAATAACGTCAGCAGTTTCTCCACTGGGTCATTCAGGAGTATCTATTCCATCTAATCAAGCAAAGTATTTTGAGCTTCTAGCGAGATATTATGTCTTGAAGCAGCAGCATGTTCTTGCAGCGCATGTATTGTTAAGATTGGCCGAAAGGCGCTCTACTGATGTTGGGAACGTCCCTACACTGGAACAGAGGTATTACTCTCACATGAGAAGGGGTAATGCATGTTTCTTTTTGTGGGGGGATTTTTACAAATAAAATGTTTTAAAATACATTTATAATATGAATTTGATTGTTGAATTCCTGACTTTAGGAATCTAAGAATGTACTGCTCTGTTGAACTTGAGTAGGCAACTTTTACCCTCATAAGATCTTTGAATTTTACTAGTTCTGTGCTCTTATTTTGACCTTTCTTAGTGCTTATAGAACTTTAATAACTATTGGGGAACAGAAGAGTAAATTAGGAGAATCTAAATGATCAAAATTGTGGGAATGTTGAAAAGAAATCCCCATCCACTGTAAGCATAACCCAATCATCCTCTGGTGCAATGGTAGCAATTTGCTGGCATGATTTGAGCACAAAATATTGTGTGTCAAGGACTACAAACGATTCATGATTCTCCGGAATTGTTTAGCTCTCAGCATCAAAACTTTCTCTCGTGCGTAATTGTGCTTGTGAATAAGTAAAATTTTAGATGCCTCTTTTACATTCTCGCAAGATGTGTGAATTGAGAGAAAGCATGTGAAAAGTTGAATGACATCTTGAAACTTGATGTGTATCTGGTACATAGATATTGGGGTCGTAGATACCTCCACCGTATCATGAATTGAGGTTGCACAACCCGAAATGGGATGGATTCATTATCTAGATTGCTTGAACTTCTGACCCCAAATTGTAACTAAATTCCCCAAATAAATACTTGTTATCTATATATGAATATATAATTATACATAATTTCATATAACAGTGAAAGCAATCCTATAGAAAATGAATCACGGCCCAAAACATCATACCAACTAAGCCTTACCATTATCGCTCCGCGAATAGGAGGATGTACCATACCGTACAACACACTCGTACTTCTACCATGTGCGAAATTGCAGCACGATCTAGGTAACATTGATCCAATTTGGGCCGATGGAACGTGGAGAGATGAATAGCAGAGGAAATTGCAATATTTGTTGATTCAAATTTGGTTTTTGAAACCTAAAACTTGATCTTGAAACTTATAATGATTATTTGAATTAGAGTGCCGTTTGTTTAAGGTCTCGATAATTAAACTTATATCCCTCCATTTCCACAAGCTCTTAAATTCTTTCCCCTGGTATGGGTGTCCATGTGCTGGGCAGCTCGGCTCACCCTGCCTAACCAATTTGTCTTGATAGAATATCAGCCCATGGGGTTGGGTCACGGGCCAAAATTTATGGCCCAACTAGATACTTGGTTGGGCCTGGGCTGAGGTGAAAATAGCACGGGGCTTGCCTTGTATCATCATATATGTGATATAATGATTTTATTTTTAAGAGTGGAAAATATTATAGCAACTGTAGAGACTCATTTTTTTTTTTGTTTGTGATGGAAAAAATATTTAATCGTGCATTTTAGTAGTTTTTGTTATTTTTAGATTTTTTGAATAAAACAAGGCGTTGATTACACTTTACACTTGACAAGTTTGTATTGATTCTCAATATAGCCTCCCTCCTTCCCTCCCTCCAAACAACAAAATTTCTAATTTTGTCATTTTCTTTTCTATAGCTTTCAACATTGTTTCAATTTAGTCTTAGCAATAGTGTTTTTTAAACTTTTTTTGTGATGTACCTGTGTCATTTTGTGTCAAGTGTTTTGACGGAAGTCATTGATTGGACTGAATTAAACCAATAACAAAAGTTGGGGAGTGAAATTGACATAATTGAAAGTTTAGAGCTAAAGTTGAGGGGACTAAAGTGCAATTAAGCTTCAAATAAATGTTATATAATGGGCTAGCTCATTTGTACCAGTGTCTTGGGCCATGGATAGGTTGGGCTTGGGTTGTCCACATCTAGCCTGATGCTAGGCTAGGTCTAATTTGAGCATTAGAAATTGTGTTGCTACTTAGCATTGGTCTGTCCCATACCCACCCCTAGACTCATAGTGTAAGACATTTCAGTATTTGTTGAACAACCTAATAAAATCCAGTGTTTAAATTTTGTTCACACCAAATAGTTTTCGGATCTTAATTTGAGCAACTTATTATCTTCTGATAACATAATTTTCATGCATTTTTCAATTCTTTAATTTTAGTTTTTATCAAATTTCAGTTAATTTAGTTGACTTGCATCCTAGACGGCTATTTCTTCCTCTACATTCTTTTAGAGAAAACAATTTCCCCTTTTGCTTCCCCTTTAGCATTGGTCTGTCCGATACTCTTTTGGTGACGTCTGTGTCACATATCTTTAATTCATGTCTACTACTAAGTACTAACATATAAACATGTGTTGACGTGCAAAGACTAAGAAATTGACCGATGACTATTTCATATTATGAGAAGTGTATATATTTTATACGACTAATTATGTCAGTTTGTATTTAAAATTTACTAATAAAAGCAAAGGATGCATATAAGTTTTGCTAAAGAAGAGAAATTGAGAAGATAAGAGCAATCATTAAGTTGAAACTTGAATAATTGTATGTTAGGGTTAAGGAAAAGAAAGAGAAGAAGAGAGAAAGAAATGATATTGTGTGTAGGGACTATGTTGCCAACACCCTATCACCTATTTATATTAGATTGATATTTAAGACAATTACAATACTAGGAAAGTAGAACAATATGATAATAACATAATAGGAAAGTAACACTCTTAACATATTATAATTATGATTATTGACAACTATGATCCTTTTGTCTAACATTCTGGTTTAGACACCGGCGTATTAGATATAAGATTATTCATCATATGGCGCTAAATTTTTTATGAATATTACTATAATTATTCCCTACATTTGTGATAAATCATATTACTGGATACATAAAACATAATTATTTGTAACATATCCCCAACGTTCCAGTGTCCTAACTTTTTGAGAAATACTGTGTTTGTGTTGTACCATATGTGTGTCCCGTGTCTGTATTTGTGTTCTTATAGTGTATCCTTAGTCTCTGGGGTTGAGCTGAAACAAGCTATGCGCAATCAGTCGCAATGGCCTAATATGACCTTTAAACTGGTTGTGATCTGATAAGCTATCTTTAACTTTTTTGATTTCAGACGTCAATACCTGAGTAATGCAGTTCTGCAGGCAAAGAGTGCAAGCGACCATGATGGTCTAATAGGTCCTGGTCGAGGTGCTTTTGACAGTGGCCTGCTGGATTTGCTTGAAGGGAAGCTTGCTGTTCTTCAATTTCAAATAAAGATCAAAGATGAATTGGAGGCTATAGCCTCCAGGTCAGAGGGTTCTCCTAGCATATCTGAATCTGTCCCAAGTGACTCATTACCTGATTACAGCCGCTCTACTGATGCCAGTTTGGCGCACACCATACAAGAAAAGGCCAAGGAGTTATCATTGGATTTAAAGAGTATCACTCAATTATATAATGAATATGCAGTTCCATTTGAGCTGTGGGAGGTATGTGCATCTCCTGCCCCCACTATGGTTTCTCCATCACCTCACCCCTTTGTCTCTGATAGTCATCTGCATGGTTGCATCTATCAATGCTACTTAGCTTGTGACATGTGTCCTTCACTGAACATATTTGCATATCTAAATGAGGTCTTGCTGAGTTGGAATGAATTGCTTTAAGTTATCAGGATTCTTTTGTGTTTTCGAAGTAAACACTAGTAAATGATATCTTAGGGAGAGACCCTGAATGCACTAAATAAAAAATTGAAGAGCACCTGCCATAAGTTAATCACTACTCGCTAGCTATGAAATCTCCTAATGGTAAGGTTTTGTGCTGGAAAAAATTACTTTGCTGATAGTGCTTTTTTACCAATCTTCTTTGCTTCCATTTCTTTTTCCTTTTCTTCTTGCTTACTTTCCTCCCTCCCTCTCTCCCTGTGGCATTGAAGTGGGATTAAAAAAAATTTCAAAGAATTTTGGTGCTCTATCCTCAGGTATCTATCTCTCCTTTGCCATTCTTTGGCACAACCAAGTAAAAACCACTACGGATCGAATAAACCAACACTACCAAAAAAAGACAGTTGAGAAATTTATGTGTCATGTAAATGTTTAGGCTAATTGTATGTGTGTCCCTATTATTTTCTTATTTTGATCTCATAGTGTTCATCGTCCCTGCAGCGGGTTTTTTTGTTCTTTTTGGAGGGGCTTGGGGGTGAGTATCTTAAAAAATGTATGATGCTCATTGTTTCTTGTGGCTTTTAAATTTTGTATACTGTAAGTGGTTTTCATTGGCTGCAATCAGTGATCTACGGGCTTCTTTTTTTTTGCCCTTCTCACGTAGCTTAATAGTTCTAAAGAACTTTCACAGTTCAATTATTAAAGACATGTACATGTATTTCTTGGGCTAATAAAGTTTTCAGACCCTAGACATGGTACTGTAGGACCCTCACTGTGTGTGTGTGTGTGTGTGTGTATGTGGATGGTGGTGAACTATTGTTTTTTTAATCAACTACCATATCTTTTGATTCTCCATCTTCTGATTGAAATCCTTGATGTTCCCATTCTGTTTTCAGATATGTCTGGAAATGCTGTATTTTGCAAACTATTCTGGTGATGCTGATAGTAGTATTGTAAGAGAGACTTGGGCTAGACTCATTGATCAAGCTATTTCAAGGGGTGGCATTGCTGAGGCTTGTTCAATTCTAAAGAGGGTTGGTTCCCACATCTATCCTGGAGATGGAGCTGTTTTACCTTTAGATACACTATGCCTTCACCTTGAGAAGGCTGCAATGGTACGTCCCCCTTCCCCCTCCCTACTTTCTTCTAACATTAAATGATGAATTTCAGCAGCTTCACGTAATTGATGGTCACTACTAATTTGTTAAGTTTGCCAAACTAAATGTTACTGTTAATTTCATGATTTGATGACATTCTACCATCCATAAATCTTACTTCTTTTTTATTGTAGGAGAGATTGGTTTCAGGGGTTGAATCGGTTGGAGATGAAGATGTTGCAAGAGCTCTTCTAGCTGCTTGCAAGGGTGCAGTCGAACCTGTATTGAATGCTTATGACCAACTACTATCCAGTGGAGCAATTGTGCCATCGCCAAGTTTAAGGTTACGCCTTCTCCGTTCAGTACTGGCTGTGCTCCGGGAGTGGGCAATGACACTGTTTGCGCACAGAATAGGTACAAGTGTCACTGGGGCATCTCTCATTCTTGGTGGAGCATTTTCGATGGAGCAAACTACAGCTATCAGCCAAGGAGTTCGTGATAAGATCACTAGTGCAGCAAACAGGTTGATTTTTTTGTTATTACCACATCATCGTCATTTTTATTTTCTTCTTAATACCTGTTGCCTGTTGGGTATTGTGAACAATTAAATATAATCATGAAAATATCAAACTGGAGCACCTGCCTGTTTCCATTGTTTAATTGCCTTGACCCAATGCGTCATTAGACTTTAGAGTGCTGCAGAAACGTGCAATTCTTGCTGGCTTCCTCTTTGTTGGCCACTGCATACAATCCCATGTTCTTGTATGACAAGTAGTTTTTAATTAGTTCTTGATGCTCATACAAAACTAGAATAAATTGATGCGCGGGGATACCATAAAATTTTTAAGCTCATTTAATTTTCAAGATGAGCCCATGGCTTGGTAGGCTGGATTTGGATTTGGTTATGTTATAATAGATAAATGTTTGTCTGTCATGAAAACATAGCAAAGTAGCGTCTAACTTCTAATCAAGGGATTGTAGGTTTGAGTCTCATTAGGTGGATGTGTTTTGGATTTACTTGAGCATGTTCTCAAGGTTGAACTTGTGCCGTAAAAACGAATCGATCAGAGTCTGAATATATGATATAAAAGCCGATGAGTTTGAGTAAGAATTCAAGCTTGACAACCGAGGTTGAGCCAAGCTCAAGTTTGTGATCATCAACTGGAGCCCCAGCTCCATTATTACTCCTACTCAAAATTTCATTTACTCTGAAGGGTGGTAAATTACTGTTTCACATTATCCTTCCTACTTTCCTTTTTACCCAACCAACCACAAGGAAAGATCTTTTTCCTAGGGATTCTTTTATTTACCTCCTACCTTCCCTGCCAATTTTCCATTTCCTTTACCTAACAGAGCATAAAGGTGAATTAATGCACACTGATAATGAATATTTTGAGTAGCTCATTATTAGTTAGCATGTTCAAGCTCATTCAGCAGCTGAAATAAGCAAACTGGTCGATACACTATAATTTTAGTATCTTGAACCCCAAAAGAAACTTCACTGAATAAAACACCGACAAGAGGTGTATAATTTGTTAAAGTTTGAAAGATGTAGCGTTCTCGTGTTACAAGATTGCAGTTTTAGAAGAGTAAAACTTATGTCCTCACTAATGTAAGAGTTGAAGTTTCTCAACTACTACTGGTGTTCTGTTTGCACAAGGAGCAAGCTTGGTGAGGCTTTGCAGTAAGCATTACGAACTTAAGTGAGCTCTGCTCAAGCTTGATTTAGGTTCAATGCGAGCTTCAATGTGCTGATAGGGCCCCATGGGCACTTTTAGATGACCATTTTGCTGAAATTCGACATGGAAATGGAAATCTGTTTTTGTGAAGGTAGCATGAGAACCTTTTAAGCATTGGGTTGGGATGTAGAGTGTCCAGGTGATGTGTCATTTTGCCATGTCTGGATGCCGACTCAGTTTGGGGGAAGAATGTTATATAGGAATCTTGAAGCCCTATTTCAAGCAGAAAAGGCTACTGCAAAGCCAAAAGAATTGGCTCAGTAGATACCTTATACAGTGGTGCGTTAATATGTTGGTGCCTTGCCTCCAGATGACATGGGTGAGGGGAAGTATTGAACTGACAGTTTTGAGAATATTCTGATGTGGATACAAGTGTTGCTTTGAAATAATGCCTCTTAATATTGATTTTGCTTACGAAAGATAAGTTGAGTCCAAAATTTAGGTATTTCACCCCTCTCCCAGTCATCTTAGTTAACACCAATTCGATAAACAGAGAACTTAACCACTATTATGGTTTCAATAGATGGTTCATTCTTTATTTTATTTTGATGAGTAATATAGGTAATCTAACCTGGTGTACACTTTCATCTGTGCCACCCTTTATATTATGTTCTTTAGTGGATTTGCTGTTGTCAAAAATAGAAAAGAAAATGGTTTGTTTCACATTTTATGATATATTAGTTATTTGAACTTACCAGATTTGTTAAATAAAAAAGCTGTTGCTTTTCATTGAAAAGTTTAATCTTAATCTCTTTCTCGTTGAATTCTAATTCACAGGTATATGACTGAGGTGCGGAGATTAGCTCTTCCAAAGAACCAAACAGAGGGTGTCTACCAAGGCTTTCGAGAGCTTGAAGAGTCGCTTTCAAGTCCTTTTTCTTTTCAGCGGTTTTGATCCTTCTTGCGATGTATTGTATAATGTACTTCTTTCTGCATATATTGATGCAATAAGATGTTTTATCATCACAAATATCATCGAATCACATATTTGCTCCCATGTCAAATGTAAGGTAGGGTTTTGCAGAAGCATGTGGCGATGAACAAAACACTCAGTTATTTGGTTGCTTCAGTTGTTGCATTATGGCTGTGTCTGGAAGGACATGCAAAAGATATGGAAAAGTGCTGTAGGAGAGGTATGTTTCATTGTGTATGCAACAGTCTTATTTTAAGCAGGGTCCCAATGGTGCACAATTTGAGGTGGAGATGCTTGCACCCAAATCTCTCTCTCTCTCTCTCTCTCTGTGTAAGCAACATAGTCTGATTTTAAACGGGGGTCTCAATAATGCAATTTGAGGAGGGGAGGTTCTTGCACTCAAATTAAGGGTGTTGTGTTGTGTCGTGTTGTTTTTGTATTATGCCTTTTTTTTGTTGTAGTATTTCTGGTTCTTGTCTTGGTGTTAATAAAAATTATTTAATTCTAAAACAATTCATGTAGTTAAATTAAAAAAATTATAAAATATGTATTTTTAACTTATATTACAAATTAATCGTATTATTTGGTTTTAATCTTAATTTGAATCATTTATAATTTTGGTCAATTGATTGTCATTTTTGAGTTCGTATTGTATCGAGTTTTGTCTATTGTTAAAATTGACGCCTTTTTTTTTTTAGTAAAAACGATTGAAATTTTCATTAAATAAAAAGGAATACATCATTTTGGATGAGAGGTAATAAAAAAACACGATAATCTTCTCTTCATATACACTGATTCATACAATTTTTTGCAAATTTAGCTAAACAAGTAGCCACCAAATTCTTGTCTCGATGAATTCGTGAAATTGAGTAATCAGCGAAACCATCGACATTACTGTTACTTTGATCAAGAAATTTACTCATCTATGATAAATCCGAAGTCCCTTTTTGCAAAGCATCTGTAACTGGCTTGGAACCACCTTCAAGAACAATTTTCCATAACTTGAGTCTACTGTTATTTTAATGGATGTTGCCGCTGCTAAAGCCTCCACATGATCAAGTTTAAGAAGTTCTTGGATCCTTTGGGAATAACCCTGAATAAAGGATCCATTCCAATCCCTAATAACAACACCAGTACCTGAAAAATCATCAGACTCAAATGCAGGCCAGCAAAATTTAATTTAAGAACACCCATCGAATAAAAATAACATTTTTGAGTGAAAATGCCACTTTTTGAGTGAATATACCACTTTTTGAATGAAAATACCACTTTTAAGTGAAAATATCACTTCTTGAGTGAAAATACTACATTTTGAATGAAAATACCATTTTTGAGTGAAGTATTACTTCTCGAATGAATATTCTGAAAGGAATCATATAATAAATGGAGCAGAATTTAAAAAGTAATAATAATTTGATTCTTTATACTAAGATTTATTCATATTTAATACAGACTGAGAAACCTTAGATTTATAAAAAGATTAAGTGTTACCTCTTGAAACATTCATTTAACAGTCTTTAAGTATTCTCAAAAATTTTAAATTTTTAAATCTGAATTTGATCTTTACCCCAAGCTTCGCAAACGTTTGGCATCAATTGGTATCCACACAAATTAACAAACTTGAAAGATCTACCTCAACCATTGATAAACTAGTAGAGAGAGAGAATGAGGGGTGGTTCTTCTTATACTAGCAAGAGAGTTGTTATATCTTTTTTCCAACTCCTACATAAAAGGTATTTATAAAGCTTTAAAAACTTTAATCCCAATTTGAGTTTTATTAACCATTAATTGTAATAAAGTTTCTAATTAACTCTAAATTAGGTTTTCACCCCAAATAACTCTTAATTGGTTCTTTATCCTTTATCTTTTAGTTTCTAATCAATTCTATTGTGTGTGACCCTATAGGTTCAAGCATATCAGATGTAGGCATTCGATACTAACTACAAGTAGCACTCTTGAATTAGAACTCTTCTAGTTCTCTCTTTACGAAGAACAATTAATATATTTATATTAATTTTATTCTTCGGACTTCTACTTATCATGAGGAACACCTAACAGCATATCATGATCAATCTCCGGATAGCACGAAGTAGATAAAGAACTCATTCAGTTTACAGCTGTCATGCAATTCAATCCTTCTATCACACAATACCCCAATTGAATTACTAGGGTATAGAATTATTGTCAAACCCCTAACTCAATATTATGTATTCGATCTTAGGACTATGACTCTTAATGATCAATTAGAAACTCTTTTCTAATTGTCATTCTGCCTTGGCCAAAGACTCCTTGAATTATATCATAGAAGATCACATGCGACATTCTCCCTTTATTTACTAAGGGTGATAGATTTTATGTTGTATACTCATAAATCTCCTTACATGTCTAACTATGTTCAACAATACATATCCAAGTTACATGGTTAATTTATATAATAAAACAAGAGTGTGTTTGAATTTTATGTCAATCATATTTTTTTCCTCAAAACCACCACCAATCACTTACTTCGCCCATCATCCATTTGTCAAAATTAAACATCAAATCACATCACTCATTTCTATCACATGTTTAATCATTTATATATTTCCTCCTTAAAAATATCACATCACTCATTTTTATCATATATTTAATCATTTAATATTTAATTAATTTGTAGTTAATATATTTTGAAAAAATTTAATATAGTGGGATCGATTTTTAAGATGCTCAAATTTTATATTTTATCGTACGTTCAGACACGGGTTATAAATATGTTTTATAGTTAAAGTATAGAAGTTCATGCACAAGACAACCATGATGTCTCAAATCTAAGGATCAATTGCATGACTATAATTTTAGAATTTAGCATTAATAGGTATATAAAATTTCATATGAAAAATCCTATGCTAGTTAACGGTCATGTTCAGTGTACTTGTTCTCTAACAAGCACCCAAACACCTGCTTCAGTGTCCCTACAGTACTGACTTGGATGAGTCACTTCATATCAATATATGAATAAACATAGTGTGTGCTAGTCTATCCAGATTACATAATGCTCAAATAGTAATCATTTGATTAAGAACATTTAAGAGTTAAATATTAAAAAGTATATGTCTCCTCTACTCAGCACCTTGAGAAACTATCTTCTTAACTTATACTCTATATACTATATCATGTATATTAAAATGAAATAAAGTAGAATTATGATAAATAAATTTACCCTTTTATTTAATTAAGTATGAATGTTACTAGTACAAACCTAAAACATCAGCTATATGATTGGTCTTAGAGCATACTACTAGCATATTCTATTTTTTGAGTGAAAATATCATTTTTTGAGTGAAAATACTATTTTTGTGTGAAAATACAACTTCTTCAATGAAAATACCACTTCTCGAGTGAAAATACCACTTTTTAGTGTATATTTTACTTTTTGAATAAAAATACCGTTTTTTAAGTGAAAGTATCACTTTTTGAATGAAAATACCATTTCTGAGTGAAAATATCACTTCTTGAATGAAAGTATTATTTTTTGAGTGAAAATACCATTTTTGAGTGAATATTCCACTTTTTGAGTGAAAATACCACTTTTGATTGAATATTTCACTTTTTGAGTGAATAAACCATTTTTGAGTGAAAATATCATTTCTTGAATGAAAATATTAATTTTGAGTGAAAATACCGCTTATTGAGTGAATATTCCACTTTTTGAGTAAAAATACTATTTTTGATTAAATATTTCATTTTTTGGGTGAAAATACCATTTTTGAGTGAATATTCTATTTTTTTAGTGAATATTTCACTTTTTAAATAAAATATTAGTTTTTGAGTGAAAATACCACCTTTTGGATGACAATACCATTTTTGAGTAAAATATCACTTTTTGAGTGAAAATACCACTTTTTGTATGAAAATACCACTTTTAGCGAATATTTCTCTATTTGACTGCAAATACCAGTTTTTAAGTGAAGATACCATTTTTTGAATGAAAATATCATTTTTGAGTGAATCTTCCACTGTTAGAATGAAAATACTACTTTTTGAGTAAATTTTCCAATTTTTGAGTGAAACTTTCTCTCTTTAATTATTTAGTGAAATTCCTCTCTTTCAGTGAAAATACTAGTTTTTGAGTGAATATTTTACGATTTGAATGAAAATACCATTTTTTTGAATGAATATTCCACTTTTTTTAGTGAAAATTCCACTTTTAGAGTGAATACTCTACATTTTGAGTGAAAATTTCTCTCTTTCACTGCAAAACTCAGTTTTTCTATGACAATTCTTCTCTTGGAGTGAAATACCATTTCTTGAATGAAAATACCATTTTTGAGTGAAAGTACTAGTGTTTGAGTGAAAATTCTACTTTTTGGGTAAACATACAACCTTTTAAGTGAATATACAAATGAAAATATCTTGATGTACTTAACATGGGGTGATTAAATTTTCTAATAAATTGTATTTTTTCTTTGTTGTGGTTTGGATTCAAAATACTTCAATCCCTCTTGTGGAGTCAAAATAAGCGCTTCACTCTTTCAAAATTGGTCGATTGGCACTAAACGAGCAAGAAATTAATGCAAATTTTTAAAAAACTCAAAATTGAACTTCGATCGAATGCAAATATAGCGCCAACCAAGCATCGGCTACCGGAAATCCTCCAAAACCAGTTCAAATAAGTTTTGTCTATATTTAATACTCTAATTTCTATTTAATTAGCCAAAAAAGAGACCCTACAACTCTGCTCTTAACTTCAGTACAAAGTTGGTTACACAGAGTCATTTGGAAATTTAATACAAGCATAAGATATTGTAGTTACAATTTTATTTAAAAAATATTATTAGTTATACAGAGTCATTTCGAAATTTAATATAAGCATAAGATATTGTAGTTACAATTTTATTTAAAAAATAGTATTTTTATTTTTGGTGATTCAAAATTACTTATTATTCTTTTAGATTTTAATTTTTCTAATATGTCATTTCCAATGTATCATTTTCAACTGTGTATGTATGTTGGGTTCTTTACTTGTGAAACAGTTGGCAGCTTTATCTTTAGAGGAAGACAGTTGTAATGTCTTTTGCGAAACGACTGACAGGTTTATACGTAGATAAATTTGGCAAGTAGAGAATCAAAGTGAAAATGTATCGAAGGTGTTTGGCGTATTTTTAGATCGTGGGCATACCAAAGATTGATTGAACGTAAAATTCAAAACGCACGATCCTTACCTACTTGAATTCGCTTGAAAATCTAAAATCGTGATTGTTCAAATAATTATAGTGAGACGTAACATTATTTCTGAAATCTTTTTTATGTCTTATAGTTCAATGACTTTTAATCAGCACCTTCGAT